AAGATCGGTCTCATCAAAATCCTTCCGTTCGGGCACCAAAAAGTCATTAATCATGGTGATATGGCCATGTCTGTATTATTTCCTCTGCCGTAACGAACCCATTGAACCAAAAGTGAGCTTCATCATTGAACAAATTTTTTTAGTGTAAATTGGGATTGTACCTTTTGGGAAATTCACCAAACTTGCGAAGCGCTGGATGGTCGTTCGACTTCCATTGGATTTTGTAAGCCTGGAAATCAAGATCCTCCGGAAAAGTCTTCCACAAACTGGACAGATACACACTTGGGTCTTCGTCGATATTTTGCTCCACAACAGCATTAGCATCTCTGTTGAGCACTGTACGGCGTCTCTGAGGAAGCACATTATCTACTGCAGGGAATGTGGTGTAACACCGTTCCATAGTTGGCCGAATTACCGACTTTGCTGAGCGAATACGGGCACAGGGATTTAGCACGATTTGTAAGCGTTGTACCGAGGCAAGTCTGTTAATTATGAAATGACAACCCAAACCGAGTATAAATCCAGTTAAAAAGACCAAACACCGAACAAAGTATATCCCCATTGAAAATCATACAACTAAAACTAACCCTTTAGCATGTAACTAACTATTTATACGAAGCAAGCAGCAACAAATGCTTACCTGCGTGTACCGTATTTTGAGTTTCACCGTTCTAATTTTTGCTAATTCTGTTTTGCTTTTTGGTAAATAACGAAAAAAGAGCATTTTACTGTTATTCCGGCGCGCTATGCGGCTTTCCCTGCTTTCAACACCACACCAGTTAGCGGCAAAACACCATTGTTCCGGTTGTCAGCGACAGTTGCAGCCACCGCTGCAGCAAATAGCCGCTAACAATGGCGAAAACGAAATTAACACGCCAACAGTAGACAAGGAAAATTCGTGCAATTTCATACATATGTACATGTAAATATGTATAAGTATGTATACATATATTCACACTTTGTATGTGCATCTAACTCGCCGAGCTATCAGTCAACCAACGAAATTTAGGTTCTCAGTTTCATTGTCGTCTATAAGCCACACAAGCAAGTACACGGGTTCTGATAATTTTTTGCAATTTTGTCTATTTTTTCCGCATTTTTTTTTACTGCAATAATGCAATTTGAAATTATAATTTTTTTTATTAATTAAAAGAAAAATAAAAGTATTAAGGAGAAAAGTTGGATGGTCAAAAAAATAAAAAATAAAATAAAATCCAAATCTACCAAATAATAAATAATTTGTGTTGTGTTGTGTTGTGTACTAGTTTAAGCATATTTTTCACAATTCATTTTTAATATATATGTATATGTATTAATAACAAATATAAGTCATATTTCGATAACTTAAAAAATAACGCAGAAAGGATTGCCTCTTCGCGAAAAGCTGATTCAGCTCATACTATTTGGAATGAACGTGATTGGAATCGAAAGTTCTACCATTGAAGTGGTTTTGATTAGAGTAAATTCAATGGTAGTCTATTGATGCTACGCCCGGGATATATGGTGAATGTTACGTCAGCTTCCGCTCTGCCGTAATTTTCAATAGTTAACACAGGTCAACAAAATCTAAACTTTTTTTCGTCACACTTTGTAAAGCGAGAATAAACGCTCGCGGCAGACGGCAGATCTTTTGGCTCTCAGCGCCAGTGTAAGCTGCCGCACAAGCTTTCACTGGAATGCCGGTGTAGAGGCAACTCCTCTTCATGCTAATGAAGACAGTTTTAATGGCTCTTTTCGAAAATTTAATGCATTTTTCTTGAGACAGTGTGCATATTTTAAAAATATTTCAGATCTAAAGTCACACCAATTAGATTCAGTCGTCTTACTATCAGTCTTTGAAGCTGTTACGCTTGCTAGAATGTTATTTTCAAAGAAGCTGCACCTACCGGTGGAGAGGCAAGTTAATAAGCCGTAGAGGACTTTTGTAAGGGGGTTTGCTTATGTGCAGATACAAATTTATCACTTAGCGATCGATGGAATGAATTCCACACCACTGAGCCATATTACAAAATGAAAACATTACCGCTACCTAAGTGGTCGACAAGCATCGGTAATATTCCGAGGTGTAACATCAAAGCCTAGGAAAATTAAACAGAGAGTTCCGCAGGGTAGTGTCCTCTCCCCGCTACTGTTTAATTTCTACATCTCGAAACTCCCTCCACCACCAGAAGGAGTTTCCCTAACCTCTTATTTCGATAATGGCGTCTGGCCAGGATATTGACGACCTCTGCTCGAAAGTGAACAGCTACCTCGCTGATCTCTCCCACTTCTTCACTGCAAGGCAGCTAAAAATCCAATCGGCGAAATCCTCGGCTACCCTTTTCACCAGAAGGAGTACAGGCTTGAACTAGATGTGAAGGTCGATGACACAAAAATTTCGACAGTAAATAACCCAAAAATATTGGGAGTAACACTAGACAGCGCTAGCCGGCAGCACCTGGGGTAAAGACAAAGAAAGTTTGCTGGCTACTTATAAAGCAATTGGTCGGCCGGTCGTAAACTATGCTGCACCGATCTGGGTGACAGGGGCGAACGAGACGCAGATGAAGAAGCTACAGGCTTGCAAGAACCCCGCCCTCAGGACCGCGACAGGAAACCTCTTGATGTCGCCGGAGCATCACTTGCACAGCGAAGCATCTATGCCTAGAGTTAAGGAGCATAATGCTTTGCTGTGTAAGCAGTTCCTATTGGGAAGGGAGTTCTACAGACAAGCACTGAACGCCATTCACCAGGAGTCAGTCAACACCTTCAAGGACTCTCTTCCAGTGAATAGCGTACTCGGAGAAAAACCACCACCACGACAACGAGCTCGAGCTGCCTCGAGAGACACTCGTGACCCTGACACAACTTAGGTCTGGATATTGTAGCAGGTTAAACTCCTATGCCCTGTATGTGGAGAGTCTCCGCACGACACTAACCACCTATTTCCATGCCCGCTCAAACCAACTCATCTAACCCCTTTCTCCCTTTGGTCCAACCCCGTCGAAACAGCCCCTTTCCTGGACCTCCCACTAGATGACCTCGGCGAATTAGACGGATCAAACCTGTGCCTAAGCGGGGTTAGCGAACCGCTATAACAAAAACAACAACAAATGAGTCTAACGTGTGAAATAAAGTGTAATTTGGCAGTGAGTGAATAATTAAAATCCTTAGCTCAACATTTATTGAAAGCTTAGACTAGTTTTGCATGATTAGCACGAGAAATAACCATAATTCGAAAATCCAGCTTCAAGAGTCGGTGGCCTTGTCAGTCCTTCACCACCATAATTGGATAACCAGCGCCGCTTTAAAGTTCTTTAAGCGAGTAATTGTGTTGCGGATTTCATCAAAGTCGTATGATGAGAGCTCAGTTCTATCTTCATTGATCGGGCGCTCGGGTGCGCCGTGTTCTGATGTATAACTTTCACTGATTTTCATCGGGCTGTAGAAGTGTTCCCTTCATAAACTCAATATATTTGTTAAGCATTAGTAAAAAATCGAGTTTTAGAGCTGTCAATCAATAGAAGACAATCCGCCAGCCCGCTCAACAATTCGAGCTGCGCTCATTCACCTTATGGAAGGTTTTGTGGAAGAACAACTCGTGCAAGAACTTAAGCGCGCTTAATTTTGGTGATGCTTGGCTGGTAAACGTACGAAATAATTATTTCTCCCAGCGAATATGAATATGTCAATAAACAAGTTTGTCGTGCCGCTAATCCACTAGCCCTTGTTTAGGCGCTTTACGTCCTCGAAACATCTTTGTTTGGTGTTCTCTATAGGCAGTGGAAGCCAATAGTATTGCAATTAATGGGTAACGCTATGCATAATGACATTTTCTAGCCTGAATTAGGGGATGTTGAAGTGGACGACTGTCGCTATAAGCCATACAGCCAACGAATCAATCATTTTAATGAAGGAAACTTTTGGTGAACGCATTATATTGCTTACTGAGCCTGAGGCGTTGTCACTACGCAGATAAGCCCGAGACGATTGACTACTTGGAAGAGAATATCGGGATAAGGTACGATCCCACGATTGCAGCAAAAAATGATTCATAATAGAATCTCTCTGTTGGAATTTATTCGAGCCAGCTACGGAGGTCACTTGCCCGAAATTATCTTTAAAGTTTATATATAATATATATATATATATATATATATTGGTGCTTTGTAACGGCTGAAGCGAATTCCGGTCAAGCACCGCTCCAATTTGTGATATGCGTCTTGATGTTTTGTACTAAGCCGACTTCGAACGGCTATTAGAAAAATTATTATAATTTTTATTTAAATTAATTTTCTATAATTTTTGTACAGGTGTGAATGTTAATCACTCGGCTATTTTATTTTTTTTTTTTTTTGAAATCCATATATCTAAAAAAACATCCTTCATAAAACAAAAAAAAAACAATATGTGTAGAAATTCAGGGTACTCCCTCTTTTGTGTCGGTATGTAAACGCTGAATAATTTTCACATTTACCCACCTAACGATTGCATCAGATATGTTTTGGAAACGTCAATGCAGTACAATTTTTGCCATGGATCGCTTCACACCGAAACAACGCGCTGAAATGGTGACACTTTCCATCGAAAACAGTCGCTCCATTGTGTTAACTCAACGTGCATTTCAAAAAAATATCGCGGCAAAAAGGCACCATGTGACAGATCAACTGATTTAACCACCCCGGACTTCTTTTTGTGGAGTTACCTGCACAGCCAGGACAAGCCAAACATTTGTGCTGAGATGCTCGGAGAGGTAATGGCAAAAGCATAAAAATTGAGTAATTTTGTAATTGCTAATAAAGGTAGCCACTTGAATGATATTATTTTCAGAAACTAGTCCAAAAAAATTGTAAGCAACCAAACTGAATAAAAATTAGTCACTTACAGAAATCGTTTGTTGTTTTTTAAAGTTATTCAATGTTTACATGCCGACATAAAAGATGGAGCACCCTGTATTTTTTGGAATAAAATTCTGATTAAAATCAAAAGCTTCAACAAAAGAATTATTTTATACCAAAAATAAAATTTTTTTTTTAAATTTTCATTTGTCTTTACTTGTCTGTGGCCAACGATCTTCGCATTATATGCCATTTCCCATCAATTAATATAACTCATAAATTCGTCGTGTGAATTGCCAAAAATTGAAATAATTTTTTAAATAAAAGCAGCAAGTGAAAACACATCAAAAACACCAATCTCAACACTCAATCACGAAATTACAAAATGTTTTGGCTCTGCAGCGTGTCACTCTCATTATTGGATTATCGTTTGATCGCAATAAATGCATTGATTTACGATTTAATTGCAGCGGAAATTGTTCACGCAGCTACTGCCGTGACAGAATTTGACAAATCAGCAACACGAATGCAGACAATGCGCGGCGCGGCAACACCAAAAACAATCACTGCCGTCGCAAATGGATTATGGCAGCGACAAGATGCACTTGAAATGTCAACAGCAATGAACAACAACAAAACAGCTGAGCTGACATTTTTCGGCACAAAAGTGAGCGTTGATGAGAGTGATGGCGCTGAGAGTAGTATGAACAACAGCAACAGCAACAATAATAGAAGAAAAAACAACAATACCAGTGAGAGCAACAACCGCATCTCTAATCCACAAACAAGTATTGCTGATGGAGAAGTTATAGCTTCTACCATAACAGCTGTTGCTACTGCTGCAATCCCATCAGATTTGATCACTGCCGACAGTAATCGCCGAAACGAAAACAAGGATAACAACAATAAGAATAATAACAACAATATCAGCATTATGGCAACGGTAAATGAACGTGTTGACAATTTTCGCAATGACAAAAAGCAAACCAAACGCCAAATCGATACAAAGGTCGAACGAACGATAGCAGCGAAAACAGTAGCATATGTAGCCAGAACAACAACAACAACAACAACAACAACATCAACAACAGCAACAGAAACAACAAACAGCCAAGGAAGAACGATAGCAGCAAAAGTCATAACAGCAATAAAATCGCCAGCAATGAATTTCCTGACATCAGTGTTGCCAACAAAAATAACAACAGCAACAAAAATAAAACTAGAAACACACGCAGCGAAGGTGAAAAGTGCAGAATCAGCAACAGCTGCGGCAAGTGAAACGTCTGTAGTAGCATTGAAATCGGTCACAGCATTAGCAGCAATACCAAAAACAATAACCACAAAAGCAACGCACGCAACAACACCGTGGCCAACATTGCCCAGTCATGATTTATTATCGTCAACAAATGGGTTGCCAAATTGTCGTGGAATATTGGAGTTTGCTTTGGACATTGGAGAATGTCTTACTAAAACAAATAATAATCATACTCGCACAACAACAGCAATAATGTCAATAACAACGGCAACTGCTGAATCGACATTTGCTCAATCATCGACAGCAACAACAACAATCACAACATTGTCCACATCATCATCATCATCATTGATATCAACATCAACATCAACGTTATCGCCCATTACAACGTTATCAACGGCGAAGTTGCAGCCGGAAACGTCAGCGACGACAACAACACATGTTACTGCAAACTTGACAGGCGTAAAACTTTCGCCATCTAGTGCAAGCAACAACCACACCAAGCATACAGTATATATGACGACAAAAAATACAGTTAACGCAACACCAATGAAGTCCAGCGCAATAAAGCGCTCTGGTCATCGTCAGCATCCTGTGCCTGCAGTACCATGGATATCAACTACACCAACAACAGCAACAAATAATACAATGCGTATATTGCGAAATGCAGCCACAGCAACAACAAAGTTAACTACCGCATTGCAATCGCAATGGCAACGAATTCTATCGCGTCGCAAGCGTTACCTCGCATTTCCGGAGGGAGCCTCATTTACCGTATGTGGCAGCAAAATTTTATTGCTATATTAATGACTGGCTAGGGACATAAATACATACATATGCATCATATATACACCTCTGCGTATATATATATATATATATATATATATATGCATATGTATGTATTTTATGTAATGAAATTTTTTCGTCCTTCATTAGGGCAAATACGGCGACCTGTAAATTTTTTCCAATAAATTCAACTAATTCAATATTCGAACATTTGGTCGAAACTGCAAATATCCGGATACACATAATTCATCGAATATTCGAAAAGACTCGCAAAAAAACATTACATGTTTTAAGAAGAATTTCAATTTATCCAATCTCGCGCTTATATACAAAAATTATTAAATAATAAAAAGTAAAATAACATAAAAATAAATAAGCTAGCAAATAAAATAAAAAATATAGTAAACCGTAATTAATTAAATTAATAAGTATGTAATAATTTCAAATGGAACAATAAAAGAAATAATATAATTAAATAAAATATAATCAAATTAAATAAGTCATAATTAAATGAAATCGAAGTAAATACATAATAAGTAATATTAAATACAGTCATACATTATATACTCACGGATTAAATAAATATGATATGCAAATTAAATTTAAAAAATATAAAATTAAAATATATTTATTTAAATTAAAAAAATTTAAATATCTTATAAAAATATTTCAAATTAAAACTACTTAATTTATAAAATATTAAATCAAATAAATTATAATTATTTAATATTATATAAAAAAATATGTATGTAAAGAACTATATAGAAAACTATTTAAAATCAAAGCAACTCCAACAAATTGGCTTTAAATAAGAAATAAAAAATAATAGAATGATACCAAATTTAAAATGAATTAAATTAAACTAAAAAAGAAAACAAAATAAATAAACTAAAACAAAAAAAAACTTAAAATAAAAAATAAACAAAACTCACTATCAAAAAGAAAAATTAACTTCACTAAATACATTTAATATAATAAAGAAAAAAAATAATTAGGAATAATAAAAATATAATAAAATAAACTTGAAAAATCTAACCAAATAAAACCAAATAAGAATCAATAAACTAAAAATTTTAAAAATACAATTCAATAAATTTAACGATATAATAATATATAAAAAAAATTAAATAAAAAATAAAGTGAAATAAAAATATGTATAATAGAATAAAATATTAAAAATATAACTAACTATAAGTAGCTAATAATGAATCAAAAAATTATAACTATTTAACAACAAATAAAAAAAAATAAATAAAAATATTATAACATAAAATAAAATAAATAAAACAAACTAATTTAAAATACTACAATTTGAAAATACATAAGATAATAATAAATAAATATTTTTTAATAAAATTAATTAATAAATTTAAATTAATTATATATAATAAAATAACATTATCAAAAATAACTAACTAATAAAAATGTATAAAACAAATTAGAATAAACAAGATATATTAAAATGAAATTTAAAAATTAATTAACTATAATTTATTGATAATAAATAAAATATATACTAATTATTAACATGACTATAAAAAATTTATATTGATAAAAATTAAAAATATAACTAACTATAAGTAGCTTATAATGAATCAAAAAATTATAACTATTTAACAACAAATAAAAAAAAATAAATAAAAATATTATAATATAAAATAAAATAAATAAAACAAACTAATTTAAAATACTACAATTTGAAAATACATAAGATAAATACAATAATATTATAAAAACTAACTAACTAATATAATCCAAAATAAGAAAAAGGTATAAAACAAATTAGAATGAAACAAAATATATTAAAATGAAATTAAAAAAATGAATTAACTATAATTTATTAATAATGAATAAAATATATACTAATTAATAACATAACTATAAAAAATTTATATTGATAAAAATTAAAAATATAATAAATGAAAAATAAACTAACTAAGTCAAAACAATTGAAAATAAGTTAAAGTTTATTTAATTAAATTAAAATATATTAATAAAAAAACACGTCAGCGCTTACAAAGTTCCTATTATTATTATTAAATTATTGAAAACAAAAAGCTTAGCAAAAAAATTTAAGTAATTAACATAAAATAGTTTAAAGATATAAAATCAAAAATAAGTAATAATAAATAAAAAAAAAAAAATAAATAATAAACAATATTAATAAAAAATAAAATAAATTAAAAACCTAATTAAAACGAATTAAAATTACATTAAAATGTTATAATATGTAATAACTAAAATTAAGATACATTAAATAAAATTTAATTTAATTATACAATATAACAAAATATAATACTTCCAAAAAAATATATAAAAAAAAATATTAAAAAAATTAAAAAAAAACATCTTAAATTAATTTCAAAAAAATTAGTACGGAAAAAAAATTAAATAGAAAAATTAATCAATTATTAAATAAATTCAAAAATAATTAAGCTAAAGCAAACTATAATAATTGTTGTCTTGAGCTTTTTCCAGCAAATGGAGAGACATACAGCTTATACTAAGCCTCTCCAGAACGGCCAATGGATTTTTATTAAGAGCTTTTATTTCATCTCAGAAATATACTCGGGGAGGCTTAACACTCCCTGCCGCTATATGGTACAAAAAAGGATCCCTTTATTTAAAAAAAAAAAAACATGAAAAGACACATTTTTAAGGTTTAATTGAAAAATCTCTTAAGCTGATTCAAAAAGATCTAACGACAGCAATTTTTGAAGATGATATCGCGACGGTGTCAATTTTGATGCCCGCGGAGGCCAGGCTAGGGAACAAGGACTTCATAAAAGCCATTATAGCATGAGTTACGTCAAGTGGTCTTTTTAAGTTCCATGCTATTTTCATTGATTTACAGATTTTTTTGGCTTGAGTTTATAAATTTCGCTGACTTTCTTTCAAAGAATCTTAATTTTGGTAACAATTTCACAGCTAACAGTTCATATTTTTTCCAATTGAATCCGATGAGATTTCGTTTTGATTTAGTAACGCACACAAATATACATATGTACATATTTCCCCAATTAGTTTAGCAATTGAAATGCATAATCTCTGCCAATTTATAGGTCTCTCTCTGCATAACAGTTGGTATTGTTGGCAATCCCAATTACAGCTACATGAGTTTCGGCATCAATTGGGGTCTCGCGTATGATTTGCCCAACGCTACTTGGGTGCTCAATCAGCTGCATGGTCTTTATCGACGACCGTTGCCTATGGCGGTGCATCATAGACGCAGCAAGCGTGCCATCTATGAGCGAATCGGTGAAGCTGTGGACAAGTAAATGGAAATTATTAATTTTAAAAACTTTAATATCACTTTCTTCTTCTTCTTTCTTTTATTATATTGTAATGTATATATAATATTTTATAGTTAAGTGTTTTTTACTTTAACTCAGACCTCTTTCTCATTTACTTACAGCATGGGCTACAACGGACGCGAGTGTGTGTTGCGCGCTCTCTGCGAGAGTCGTCAGTATTTTACACGCCATAAAATGGGCATGATCGGTGAAATATTGCGCGTTATATTCAGGTATCTGAGAGATTTAGTTAAATAAGTTTTACTAATTATGAGAAATATTCATTTCAGCTTACCAAAGCAACGTTTATTCACTCGTGAGCTACATGAGAATTCCGATATTGCTGTCTATGATCATGCCTATCGTCAGGCTCGCTCACTGGATTGTGCTGGTCAGTTCGATTGTTCTTTCTCACTGCTTGAATTGGCATTTGGCAGGTATTCGAAACCACAGGCTGAATTCTATGATGGAATGAATATGTGAAGAAATAAAATATTTTCAAAATCTTACATATTTGTTTGAAAGTTAATAAAACTTAAAACATAGAAAAACTCAATATTATACGCTCTTTCGGAAATAATCACGAAGTACAGATTCTTGTCTTTGCTTAAAAGTGTGGTTGTTACTTGATTTATACCCAATTTGGTTTGACATCTCATAATGAGCAGACTTACTCCGTAACAAGGTTTGAGAGTCTTGCGAAAATAATGGTTCTTCGGTACTCTGCGTCCAATAGTCGATAGTTATAAGCGCCCAGCAGAGTCGGTAAATCGAGTAACCATGGATAAGTTTCACACCACGTTCACCCTAGTAGCAATAATTGGAGCTGTATCTATACATTTTATTTTATTTTACTGAAGGGTCTTAGCGCGCCGGCTCACAAAATCCAATTCACCAATTCGCCAAACCGAACACTCATCAAACGAATCGTACGTTCGTTGAACGAAACCAAAACAAGATGATCATCGATCACGCTTTTCACAGAAACAAATCAAATTTTTCGCATTTGGCATTAGGATAATCCCCAAACCATTGCCGAGACACCGTTACATCCTCAAAATGTCATTGTTTGGTATTTTGTAAGGGTAGAGGAAATCAGTGGTCCATATTTCTTCAAGCATGAAGCCGGCTATAATGTATAGTTAATGGAAAAGGCTTTCGAGCTAGAGATGTGGACGATCTTTGGTTCCAACAAGACAGCGCTACAAGCCCTGCCGCCAACGAACTATTCAATTTATTAAAGAAAACTTTTGGTGCGTACATTATCTCGCGTCGTGGGGTAGGCTCTAAGAACGTGCGATTTAACAACGCTGCCCTTTTTTGTTTTTTGGGTCATGTTAAGTCGCTTCTCAGCGCCGATAAGCCCGTAACTATTGACGCTTTAGAAGGGAATATTCAGCGAAAAGGTGTTATTTTTATGATTATTGTCTGAAAGCCGAATTTTCTCTTAGTCCGGTTCAAAGCAATTCTACTCATCTGACTTTATGAACACCAAATAATTTAATTTAATTATTATGTGCTTATACATACATATATAAAATCTGCATACCACCATTAAAGTGCTCCCAGAGAAATTGTACATAACAAAATTAAAAAGTTCGTCAAGTTATCAATACTTAATTTAATGATGCCGAAATTCACTAGCCACTTGATGACTTGACAGAAGAGTGCACTCGATGTGAACGGCGTAAGAGTGGTGAAACGCTCGTGGAAAATGGAAAGTGCGCATATGGAAGGAAATGCTATTAAATGTTATATTCAAATTTTAATTTAATTACAGAAATTTTTGGCAGCCAACATTTGCCATTAAAAATCACTTTTTCCGTCATCAATGCATCTGTTCGAGTTTTTGCAGTCTCACTTAAGCTAATTTAGCCCACGTACGCGGCGAATATGTATTTTAAATGGGTTTATTTGCTCCAGAAAAGAGCGAGTAAAAAGTTCAGCTTTAGGTATTTGGAAAGCGATTTCAAGCAATTGTGGTGGGCAATCAGTCACTCTGCCACAGCTGTTGGAGCTTCAATTCTACAAAAATGTTCTAATAAGTAGCTGCAGGGCAGCTGGATTTTCGTATTCATATAAAGTCAAATCATATTGTTGTTGTAGTGCCGACTTTCTCAACACCAAGTCGATATCGTAGACATCAACTAATGCGAAGTCCAAGAAAGCGGTTTTTTCTGCAGATTCCAACCAGAGCGTGTTGGATGACTAGGTTTTAGCGGGCAGGAAAGTGGTGATTCGTGTGACGCGGGTACACAGTTAAAACACAGTTGAAACAATGCATTGAGTTTATCGTGGTCAAGTTTGGAGTTCAGTATCCGAACCTCAATTGTGGCAATAATGCTCGGCTCGTGTCTTTCATCAGCAAATAGTGATTGTTGGATTCAAAGCTCACTATTCATGGCTGGATGTGTTGACGGACTTTCTATGAATGGTCTTTAGAGTCTGCCGGTAAGTTGTCCTGTCCAGCGGTCCGATTTTGTGCTGCTGAGTAGAGTACTTTAGGTCAATAACTCCCTTCGTTATGTGCCTAGATAGTGGTAATAATGCTTCATACGGCAACATTTAAGCAGATATTGCTTACTCAATACATACACAGCATTATGCTCCTTAAGTGGAAGTATAAAAGTTTTACTATGCAAATGGAGCATCGGTGACATCAGTTGATCTTCCGCTGCACGGTATATCGTCTTTTGGAACGCTGGTTATAGTGACGTAAGAAGGGAGACGAATGTACTATGTGGATAATAACCAAGGAGATTCTTAAGAAGAAAGAACGCAAATATCGTCAAATGCAAACTGCTGAGTAAAGAATTTGTTTATGGACACGCATCGTCAAGATGAAAGTAAAGCTCGTCCTATCTCTAGTGGATGCAGACTTAGCACCACATAGCACCAGCGGCGGTCGCATGACTTAAGCACTCTAGAAGTATTTTTAATACTAATAGAATTTCAAAGGGGCATTGTTTTCTCAAGAGATGTAGGATGACGCAAAGTGGATTCTTTCACTTATCTTTAATGACGCCATACTACATAATAATAGAGCAGCGGAGTCAAATCGCTACTGCGAACCGAATGAATGAATGAATGTTAAAGCTCCAATAAGCTGTAACTCAAAAAGCAAACTCTAGATGGCCTAATTGGCGCGTTAGAAAGCGATTTTCGGGCGAACTCCTCCTCCACTTTACGGTGCGCTTCTTAACGGAGGGATCAACACTTTATTCTAAGCGGTTTCCGGACGACTGGTGGATTTTTATGAGGAGCTTTTCTTTCATGTCAGCAACACACTCGAAAGGATTTATATTTCCTACAGAGAGAAGACCGTAGTCAATAAAATTATTTCTTTAGTTAATTTTCTATAAGTTTTGTCATTGATCTTGACAGCACTCGAATCCGTGATCCTCCGCTACTTCGGCTACAGTCATTAGAGAATCCAACAAAAAGGAAAACCAGCAGTGATCAAAATAACACTCTTAAAAATTTCAATGAGCTTTTTTTGGCTAGTAAATGTGTCAGCGTTTCGAGGTCGACGATCAACCTAACCTAACTTTTCAAAACTTTTGTTTACACTTGTAAGCATTTACTTTCTAAAAAAAATTAATACTTGAAACTTCTCTTAAATTTTCAATACTCCCAGTGGCGCGTTGAAAATTTGCATTCTTTAATAATTAATAAATTTTATTTATAACAGTTCATTTATTCTTTTCCCATCCTAGAATCTCCCCTTTCCTCTCCCCATTCTCTTCATCATATTAATTACTTTACTTACCGGTGACTCAGGGCCAAATGCACAACCCCTTCCAATTCAATTCATTTGAGTTTTGATGCTCTCTAATGTCGCTCATTACCGGCGAAAGAAATCCAGAATCGTTTCCATTCCTTTCCGCACAATTTCGCATTTATTTCTTCCTTTTTTTTGCTTCTCTGTTTTGTTCTTTAGTTTGTGTAGTTTTTCATTTGTGTTCTTAAGTGTCCATTTCCATGGATTTCGCAAATAATTCCCAAAAGCTGTAAGAACACTTGTAACAACTGTTTTCATGCGAACGCAAATGCCAACGACCAACGACCAACGACCAATGGACCAACAACAACCACAACGAACAACTAGCAAAACGTCAGCACACGTCGCGTCTTGATGTTGTAACATTTTCGTTTGATTGCAAGATTGATGAGGCGAGCTTACGTGATGCCATCGCAAGTTGAAACTTTTTCCATTAAAATTGCGCCAACATTAGGTGGTGCGCGCTTAAGGTGGTTCAACTTTTTTCTTGCACTTCTCCTCCTCGCCACCTTTTACTCAACTCATTCCGCCATAGTGCTCAGACGGCGAGTCCTAAATCTCGCATCACAATGACCTACGCAAACTTTGCCCAAACAATCGGTTGCTGTACTCGTACTTGTTTAATAGACACTCCCATGTCGCCGGTCTGGGGGATCATACCAAGCGCTAAGCCATTGAAATACGAGGATATCTCCAGCAGAGTACTTCGCAGCACGGGCAATATACTAACTTCCTTCGCCGCGTATTGGCGGCTGCTCATTGACCTGCTGTGCTGGTAGTCATATTTCAAAAGCCCCGACGTTACAATTGTAAGCTGTATCGAACTTACAAGTGTTTGTGTGTATGTAGGTTTGAAGTACAATAGTAAATACAACAAATATTTAAGCTGCTAACAACAATAACATACGGACATTACTACAATTGCACCACGTCTCAATATGGAATTGGCGTACGAAGCACAACAGAGTGGTGAATCAACGAGAGATGGAGGCACGAACGGACGAGGGACGCTGTAGGTTCTGTCGAGAGACAAGGCGCTTGGGTCAAGACAAACTAACTTATTGCTGTCCGGAAGATTGAAGATACGAATGAGCGGTTCTACATTTGTGTTTTTGTTATTGTTTATAACGGTTTTCGTTTTAGTAATGGCGGCAGGTAAACGGAAGTGAGAAATGTCCACAACGAATGTTGAATGAAAATTTATGGGCAACAGTAAGCCATGAACAAGAAAACAACACCACGGAGGAAAGCAGCTCGCAAGTGAGAGAAAAGAAAACCACCAACAACCACAACAACAATGTAATAGCGAATTGAATGCATGTGTGTATATTAGCGTGTGAAAGCGCAGTCCAACGCAAAAAAAGACAAAATGAAAATACAAAGCCAAACATTTGTTTTCCTTTCTTCGACTTTTCTCCCAATATATTAATTTTTTTCTTTGTGATTTTTTTTCCATTTTTGTGCAACCTTTCCTATACCTTGTACTCCTGTTGTTGCTCTTTTACCTTTTTTACACTGTTATATTTACAATTTTTTTTTTACCATTTCTTCGCGCTCTTTGTAATAGGTTTCGCTGTCATAACTCAAACCTGTCGCTTTGTTAACGGTGCATGCTGCGCTGTCTGTCCACCATAAGCCATCTGGGTCAGCAACAGGTGGTCGCTCAATCAATGCTGGCAAATTATGTCAAAACTGAGTTTTATAAATGGATGTAATAGAAAATAAAAT